TCTGGCGAAATTCAATACTTTAGCATGTCACACGAATTTTCCGTGACCACGTCATTTCCACGCCATTTCCACGCCATTCTGCGCCATCAATGGCAAATTAAATATGCCAAATAAACATTTAATATGCAGCAGCCAGTACCATGGCCGGATTTTCCTTAAAAAAGTATAGGAAACACAGTTCGAAATGCAAAAAGTGGCGATATTAAGGAAACGATCCTTTATCCCATAAAAGGTAAAAAATTTTGAACAGTAATAGTAAGCGATCATTTTTTATCCATCTAAGGAGTACGGTTTATCGTTTGAGAAACGTTCACTTGTTTTGAAACTTGAAGGAGCGATCTGCCCACAGTAGTGGCCATGCCGGTCTATTAAATGTTTGTTTAAAATTCTTGTGTTTATACGTTTTATTTAGTAACAGGGCGCTTTATATAGGGCGGCGCAACGCGCTGATGTCGCGCTGATCGACGTGTGATGCGGAAATAGACTAGCACTAGCAGGTTTTGAAAGAATTCGAAATTTTTTTTGATAATTTTGCGTATGTTTATATCGCCGATATTTTATTGAAAAATTCCTTGTTATAGTTTGTAATTATTTCGTAAACTATAAAAGGATGCCAACGAACTTTCTGGATGTTATTTTGTGTTTGAAATGTGGTTAAATATGGAGATATTAGCGAAAACAGCATGGTGTTGTGATGGCTTCAATGGAGTGAAATTTTGAAATTGGGAGCCTGGCTAAGTTCCTAAAGTCTTAACCATGATTTTACGGTAAGTAAAAAGCTTTTTATATTATGTTTATATGATGAAAATTTAAAAAAAATCGAAGTTGATAATTTACTGGTAAATGATGCCTGAATATGACCTTTTTTAAGCTCAGCTTTTCGTTAGGATATTGTTTATTTTTTTGTTGATCAAAAATACAAAGTGACGAAAGTATTAAGGCATCACATTATTCCTCGCATTTGCCTTAAAGTTTACCCAAAATCCAAGTGCCATGCCAATGAATTAGATGAAGTTGTTTGATCACTTTGATTATTCACCTCATGCTTGTTGAATACGGCGAATTGTAAATACGTGGAGCGCTTTCGTGTTGGATAATTTCTTAACCTTAATTCCGTTGTTTTATGTTGTGATGAGTTTTTGTGATCGATAATTTGTCAAAACAACACGAATCAAAGTTGATAATTTAATGGAATTTTGGCCTTAAAGATAGGCTGGTAGATGAAAACACGTTCTTCTAAATCGAACATACAGCTAAAACCGATTGTCATGGAGATGCAAAGTACGTGGCGTAGTACTAGGTGGCGTCAGATTTTATTAGGCTGAATTTGTTTTGTTGTTTTCAGTCGGGTATAAATGTTTTGTATTTTTGTATAAAAATGTGCGATTTAAACGGAAAAATGTGCGATTTAAACGGTAAAAGGTGCGCGTCTGGGTTGTTATCTTCGTGTTCTAAGCGTGTTAAAGAAAGTTTTGAAACAGATGGTCCTAATACATCTCCAACATTAATCACAACAGCAAGCGCAACTTCGTCTTTCATGTTGTCAACTTCGTCTTCGTCAAAAATGCTACTTTATTACCTCTGGAGATGGTCTCGGGCCCAAAATGATTGTCGTGTAAACTTGGCGGCTTTCGTATCAATATGCGTATCAGAAAAGTGAAGTGGAAATGCCACTTTAAAGTGATGTTACACCTAATAATTTTCAACATCAACTCGCAACGCAACAATAATAAAAAATTTGAAGAACATGTACAGAGTCAGTGACAGTGTTGTTGTTAAACTTCAACTTGCTTTTGAGACAACTTATGAATTCTACATATATACCATATAATTATGCCTTATTCGACACGTGAAGTCGTGAACCTTTTTCGAAACCTTCCTGCTGAAAACTTTGCTGCAGTTGATGTTGAAATTTGCTCTGTGTAACATTGCCTTGAGATTCACACGTTAGTTCGGAAAAATGACGAACTCAATACATGTCTTTAAATGAAGTAGTAATTAGAAGATTATTAAATTCTATGTGTAACATACTAACGCATTTTATGCACACACTTGTAATCCCTGACCCCTTTTCGATCAAGCTTCTTGAACGGATACAAGCTCTGCTGTCAAGCAATTTCTTACACGAATTTTGATAAAATTCTACACGGTCTCACAACTTTAATCATTAAGATGGCTCATCGCGTTGGTCTATCGAAGTACAACAACAACTTTGGTAAGACACACAGTTTAAATTTTCTATTTTACCCCTTACGAATACACTTTCACGCAGTCTTGATCCTTTATGATTCTCCTATAAACACACACCACTTCTACTCACTTCTTATCTTCATCGTTCTTCTACACAAACTCCCAACCCTGCTCCCCGCTGACGAGTCCGCAAAAGGATGAAACGCCGCGTACGGGGATACTGATTCGCACGCTTGCCTTTCTTGTCTTCTGTTTTACTTTTCTACCTACCTCCTTACATTACCTTGACTTAACACCACCAATAACGCTACACAACCTATTACTACAAACGCAACTACATAGTTTCTTGAAGAACTCCATCATACACAAACAAAACCCTTTTTAAAAAGAATTTTATTTCAAACACACCACATGGTTGGCAGTTGTCCAACAAATTCCAAACTACCCTGGTTATTTTTATTTTTTTCTACGCCCCTCAATTCGCAATTAACTATTCAACAAATTACTCATTATGTTCCCCTTTAGCCCACATACACATAACGTTCTATTTTTTTCTCTAGTTTGTTTAATTCAGACAATTGTTACAAATTAACTTATAACTATGTAAGAACTACAATATGGTTCCAATTACCTATGTCAAAATATAAAATAAACATCGAAGATCTGCTGCGTGTCACAAACTCTCTGAACAAGCCCAAGATAGAGATCATAAATTAAATTCGTTAGTTCCTCAGGAAAAAATTTGTAAATATTCCCTAAGACGATGTCGAAAATTCTCTCTACCTCGAATTCGAACTGATCGGTATAAGAACTCCTTCATAATCGCTAACAGTCTCGAACAATAGCCTAATTTGTTATAATTGTAAGATAATTGTATATTAGATTTAGTTAAACTTTTGCATGTATATACTTTTAGGTGTCTTTTATGTACATCGTATATAATTCAGTTTTTACTAACTGCAAATTACGATTATTAAATTCAATCAATCAAAAATCAATCAACTTAGTCGCCTGGAAGGATCAGGGGATATTCCCCAATAATTGTCATGATTTGGTTTATACATTTCTTTTATCCGAACTATGAAAGTTTCCTTTATATATATCTCATCAGACCAAATAGCTAACTCTCAAAATTGTGCTATCTTCACAGTGGAAAATTTGCATTTTACTCCTGCAAAGTAATCTAAATATATATGTTTGAGTTAGTTGTAATTTAATACTAGAATTAATGTATAGTCAGAACTCAGACTTAAGAACTCAAATGGTTAACCTGTGTGACTATATAGCTCCCACAAATGCTATTAAATCATGCAGGTTAGTTATTTAATTCTCTCTTAAGATGTTAGAACTTTTACCTATTAAGAACCATTCATCTGAAGAGCTTTATTTTATGTTTGTTTTCTAATTTTCATATGAATTGCATTTCATTCATCCAAATTCTCCCAAATTAAAAATAAACTAGGTACATTTCATCTATTGAATTTTTTACATGCACATACAATAACCTGAAATTAATTTATTAGTTAATCAATTGAAGCATGTTAGTCAATCCATATCAAGACTTAGCAAGCACTAAAATAAAGGTAATTGTTTTAGTCTTCTATTCATATTTAAGTATCTGGTTGTGGGCCAGGCTGGCAATCAGTTGGCTATGTATGTGTGTTAAAATATGTAAAAATATTATATGATAACATATATGTTCAATTTGATAGAGCATTTTATTTTTTTCATATAACTTTTGGAAGATGACTAGTTTTGAGCAAATTGACGTATAATGAAGCTCGATAAACTATAATCAACTCTGAATTTGTTATAATCATACATATATGTCACATATAAAACCCAAACATTGTTTACATTATATGCCTTGAAATGAGCTGAATGCTCATTAGTATGCACATATCAATTTGATCAGTCCAATTGTTGTTTAGGTAAAGTGATCAGCCTAATTGGAATGCCAGCATAATTCAATTTGTTCTAGATAGTATTTTTTAAAGACGCCTTGTATATAAAATTAACCCTATATTAATACAATATAGAGTTTATATATATATCATCTGAACCAGGTTGCTCAGGATACAAACCAATTGTATTCATTATAGAGGCAGAATTAATGGGTCAATTTAATCTAATATTAAATCATTCAATCTAATAATAACTGCCCACTTTTTATAAACCTTAGATAATACTAATAATTCTATTTTGAGAATTAGATGATATGAATGAGGAATGAAATGCAACATTATTAGAGTTTCTGTGCACTTCAGTATTTTATCACATTCAACAACAAAAGGGTCCAGGGCCAGCTTTTGCTGACTGGTTTTGCCTAAACCAATTAGTGTAGGCTACTTAATTAATTTGTAATTGCCCATACATCCCATCTTTACTATTTTTCTGAACAAAGATCTAGAAGTATTCATTTAGAACTGTTATTATATAAGAACTAAAATTGCTGCGGGTGAACCTCTGAACATGAACATGAACCTGAACATTAAACTCTTGACCATTCTACCCAAGGTTGTCTTTAATTGTCCTGAAAGTTACATACATGCTAATCCACATTTGACTGATTTCTTAGATAGCGGTTCTAAATGATTTCATACAAAAATTCCACCTTTCTCAAAATCGCGATGATTCTCTTTGGTTCTCCACTCTCACGTGGTCTTTCTGTTCTTAGAAAGTTGAGTGAATTACGGGAAAAGACGCAAGAAGAAATCAACTCCCTCGCTTCTCAGCTGCAGGTTCGTTTTTAAATACCATCAATTATTTCTTGCTTTCGTAGTTACGATTTAATTCCACTTTCGTTTTAGGGTCTGCGAAATGAAAATAACAATCTGTCGATGCAATTAGCAGGTAACATTGCAGCTATGTCTATAACCTCTGCAAGTTGTTTTACAGCACTTGCGATTCATTAGAGGTTAATTTTAAACAGATCGTAGTCATCGTACAGCAATTGGCATGTTTCGAACAGTGATTTAAAGATACGTCCGGATACGTACCTACGTACTTGAATATGAAATTTTAGTCTCACCCACTCGTCGTCTTCGACTTTTGAACTTCAGTACCTTTGCGTAGTTCAGAAATTAGGTAATATCACAAAAATTGGTTCAACGCTAATTGATGCTGTCCTTGTGTCCCTCGGTTGGGAAACACCAGGCAATGCTGTTTTCATTATTATATGATTTACTATCTCATTGCAGATTGTAAGTTGGTTAATGCGCAATTAGAAAGAGAGATTCACAGTTTCACAGAAGTTCAAAGGTATCGTCAAACATCACATGTAACACGTGCCCGGTTGTACGAAAGCTCGATATAATTTTGCATGCATTCATAATGACTTGTCATCTGTCTTGAGTATGTTCCAGAATTAAGTCATCACATTTTGAGATTTGAGCATCGCCTGTACTTGCAAAGCGTTTTCTTTTGCTTGTTTCTCGCTGTATATCGAAGAGATGCTTTTTCCTTTCTATCTTAGAAAAAATGAGCGTAAGACTGTACTTCTTAAAGAGCAATTTTCCCATCTTCAGCAAAGGGAGGCTGCCGGGCAAAACACCCTAAGTGAAGTACTAAAAGTGGTAAGTGGAACTAATTTGTATTAGTGTGTATGAGATATAATGAACCAATTGAGGTTCAACTTTGTACTACCGTTCTCTGAACGTCTTCTTTGTGCGTGTGTAGGCTGAAAAGACAACTTTAGAAAGGGATGCTGTTAATGAAATGGTAAGAACTGTGAATTTCGTTATCTATATATGTCGCTAAATGTGTTTTGAATGTGGAATTTGAACGCGCGTGTGGGTATAACGGCATTGCAAATCAGTTTTCTTTTGTTTAAGTTGTACGAAATTCCCGATTTGACGTCACGTGCGGTAACTTTAAAGGCTAATAGACCATTGCAGCAACAAAATATTTTGCGTATTTTTTTTAAAAATACCTTTTGATGTATTCAAAATGCGCAACCGTGTGATATTAACATGCACTTTAAAAATTTTACAAATGCGTGAATGAAAAATGATTTTATTTACTTATGTAGTTTTTGATTTTAAAAGAAATAATAAAATTGTTTAAAATTTTCTGTACGCATAAAAGAGAACTGTAGAACAGTTTTTAGATCCCCCCAAAAATGGAGAAACAATTGCAACCTGCAGTTTTATTGTCTTCCTAATGAGAGATCAAAATAACCAGCATATTTAGTACAAACTATGTCTTTAATGCTTTCTTGACTTTATATTGTGTAAGGTTGAGAAGCTTTCATTTGTCCCGGCTATGACGGAGAATGAATTGCACAAAACTGCAAAATTACGGGCTGTTTACATTCAACGAAGCGTGAGATGAATTTAAGGTATTGAAATGAGCAGATAACATGATCCTGGCAGTCGTATAATCACCACAACAATAGCATGTGCTTGTTTGGTGTCATAAACACTTATTTCAATACCTCAAAGTCCTCTCACGCTTCGTTGAATTTCGGGTAACCGGGCTCATGTAAACAGCCCCTTAGTTCATTGGTGCCTGTATAAAAAATCTTTCTGCATATGGTTTTAAAAAGTCGTGCAGGGGCCGGTTGTTCAAAAGGCGTTTAGCTTAAACGGTGGATAAGTCTAAAATAGAAAACAAAATGATCTATTTATTGAACAACTGAGCTGTAATATTTCGATGCAAATATAGTTTAATTCTCAATGGAAGTACACATTGAATGCATAAGATGCAGGTTCAGTCATTCACGAGATGTATGAGAGTATTTTTAAACTTTGGCTTATCCACCGTTTAAGCTAAACGCCTTTCGAGCAACTGGCCCCAGGTGTTCTTTACCAAAGAGCTACTTTCCAATTGGGAAATACTTTTGAAAAAATCACTATAAAATTTATAATTTATTCAGACAGTGGACATTTCGTGTTTTTAATAACGAACGAGAAAATCTGGAGTTCTTATAATCTAAATTGGGAAAAGGAGGGAATGTTTCATCAAAACCGAGGTTATTTGTGAAACAATTTTGGCCTGTTTGTCTATATAAGATAAGGCTTACCGTTTTAATAAAGTAAAGATTAAGTACATGTGTAACGGGAGCAAAACAAATTTTCTTGTTTCCTTTAAAAATTTGAGAATACGCAATTTCTTTCCGAAGAAAATCTGCATGATTAGCCGCGTTTGACTACTTACTCGCAACAAGCCACTTGCTTTTTTTTCGGAAGGGTTTTATTTTCTCACGAAATTTTCTAATCCACTAGGCAACAATTGGAGAAGCAATGCCAGTTGGTTTTCAGTGAAAATGAAGTCTTAATGAAACGTCAGGAGTTGCAAAATCAAAAGTTAGAAGAGCTCACAGCATTCTACTGTCAATGATAGCCGAAGGTGTGGAAATATTTTGTCGTTTTTTTTCTCACCTTTAGATTAATGTACTAGATATGTATTTCTTTGTTAATTAATTAGTCAACATATTTTGAATTTTCCAATACACCCACGTTAATTGTTTACTGCGACAATTTTACTATGATTTGCCAACATTTGGTTTACTGTTGAGTCATTCCATGGTTACGTATACACGCGGTAATTGCCCACTCGCGGTTCTAAATTATTTCAAACAAAAATTCCACCTTTCTCAGAATCGCGATGATTCTCTTTGGTTCTCCACTCTCACGTGGTGTTTCTGTTCTTAGAAAGTTGAGTGAATTACGGGAAAAGACGCAAGAAGAAATCAACTCCCTCGCTTCTCAGCTGCAGGTTCGTTTTTAAATACCATTAATTATATATTGCTTTCGTAATTACGATTTTATTCCACTTTCGTTTTAGGGTCTGCGAAATGAGAATAACAATCTGTCGATGCAATTAGCAGGTAACATTGCAGCTATGTCTATAACCTCTGCAAGTTGTTTTACAGCACTTGCGATTCATTAGAGGTTAATTTTAAACAGATCGTAGAGTACAGCAATTGGCATGTTTCGAACAGTGATTTAAAGATACGTCCGGATACGTACCTACGTACTTGAATATGAAATTTTAGTCTCACCCACTCGTCGTCTTCGACTTTTGAACTTCAGTACCTTTGCGTAGTTCAGAAATTAGGTAATATCCAAAAATTGGTTCAACGCTAGTTGATGCTGTCCTTGTGTCCCTCGATTGGGAAACACCAGGCAATGCTGTTTTCATTATTATATGATTTACTATCTCATTGCAGATTGTAAGTTGGTTAATGCGCAATTAGAAACAGAGATTCACAGTTTCACAGAATTTCAAAGGTATGGTCACACATCACATGTAACACGTGCCCGGTTGGACGAAAGCTCGATATCGTTTTGCATGCATTCATAATGACTTGTCATCTGTCTTGAGTATGTTCCAGAATTAAGTCATCGCATTTTGAGATTTGAGCATCGCCTGTACTTGCAAAGCGTTTTCTTTTGCTTGTTTCTCGCTGTATATCGAAGAGATGCTTTTTCCTTTCTATCTTAGAAAAAATGAGCGTAAGACTGTACTTCTTAAAGAACAATTTTCCCATCTTCATCAAAGGGAGGCTGCCGGGCAAAACACCCTAAGTGAAGTACTAAAAGTGGTAAGTGGAACTAATCCGTATTAGTGTCTATGAGATATAATGAACCAATTGAGGTTCAACTTTGTACAACCGTTCTCTGAACGTCTTCTTTGTGCGTGTGTAGGCTGAAAAGACAACTTTAGAAAGGGATGCTGCTAATGAAATGGTAAGAACTGTGAATTTCGTTATCTATATATGTCGCTAAATGTGTTTTCAATGTGGAATTTTGAACGCGCGTGTGGGTATAACGGCATTGCAAATCAGTTTTCTTTTGTTTAAGTTGTACGAAATTTCCGATTTGACGTCACGTGCGGTAACTTTAAAGGCTAATAGACCATTGCAGCAACAAAATATTTTGCGTATTTTTTTTAAAAATACCTTTTGATGTATTCAAAATGCGCAACCGTGTGATATTAACATGCACTTTAAAAATTTTACAAATGCGTGAATGAAAAATGATTTTATTTACTTATGTAGTTTTTGATTTTAAAAGAAATAATAAAATTGTTTAAAATTTTCTGTACGCATAAAAGAGAACTGTAGAACAGTTTTTAGATCCCCCCAAAAATGGAGAAACAATTGCAACCTGCAGTTTTATTGTCTTCCTAATGAGAGATCAAAATAACCAGCATATTTAGTACAAACTATGTCTTTAATGCTTTCTTGACTTTATATTGTGTAAGGTTGAGAAGCTTTCATTTGTCCCGGCTATGACGGAGAATGAATTGCACAAAACTGCAAAATTACGGGCTGTTTACATTCAACGAAGCGTGAGATGAATTTAAGGTATTGAAATGAGCAGATAACATGATCCTGGCAGTCGTATAATCACCACAACAATAGCATGTGCTTGTTTGGTGTCATAAACACTTATTTCAATACCTCAAAGTCCTCTCACGCTTCGTTGAATTTCGGGTAACCGGGCTCATGTAAACAGCCCCTTAGTTCATTGGTGCCTGTATAAAAAATCTTTCTGCATATGGTTTTAAAAAGTCGTGCAGGGGCCGGTTGTTCAAAAGGCGTTTAGCTTAAACGGTGGATAAGTCTAAAATAGAAAACAAAATGATCTATTTATTGAACAACTGAGCTGTAATATTTCGATGCAAATATAGTTTAATTCTCAATGGAAGTACACATTGAATGCATAAGATGCAGGTTCAGTCATTCACGAGATGTATGAGAGTATTTTTAAACTTTGGCTTATCCACCGTTTAAGCTAAACGCCTTTCGAGCAACTGGCCCCAGGTGTTCTTTACCAAAGAGCTACTTTCCAATTGGGAAATACTTTTGAAAAAATCACTATAAAATTTATAATTTATTCAGACAGTGGACATTTCGTGTTTTTAATAACGAACGAGAAAATCTGGAGTTCTTATAATCTAAATTGGGAAAAGGAGGGAATGTTTCATCAAAACCGAGGTTATTTGTGAAACAATTTTGGCCTGTTTGTCTATATAAGATAAGGCTTACCGTTTTAATAAAGTAAAGATTAAGTACATGTGTAACGGGAGCAAAACAAATTTTCTTGTTTCCTTTAAAAATTTGAGAATACGCAATTTCTTTCCGAAGAAAATCTGCATGATTAGCCGCGTTTGACTACTTACTCGCAACAAGCCACTTGCTTTTTTTTCGGAAGGGTTTTATTTTCTCACGAAATTTTCTAATCCACTAGGCAACAATTGGAGAAGCAATGCCAGTTGGTTTTCAGTGAAAATGAAGTCTTAATGAAACGTCAGGAGTGCAAAAACAAAAGTTAGAAGAGCTCACAGCATTCTACTGTCAATGATAGCCGAAGGTGTGGAAATATTTTGTCGTTTTTTTTCTCACCTTTAGATTAATGTACTAGATATGTATTTCTTTGTTAATTAATTAGTCAACATATTTTGAATTTTCCAATACACCCACGTTAATTGTTTACTGCGACAATTTTACTATGATTTGCCAACATTTGGTTTACTGTTGAGTCATTCCATGGTTACGTATACACGCGGTAATTGCCCACTCGCGGTTCTAAATTATTTCAAACAAAAATTCCACCTTTCTCAGAATCGCGATGATTCTCTTTGGTTCTCCACTCTCACGTGGTGTTTCTGTTCTTAGAAAGTTGAGTGAATTACGGGAAAAGACGCAAGAAGAAATCAACTCCCTCGCTTCTCAGCTGCAGGTTCGTTTTTAAATACCATTAATTATATATTGCTTTCGTAATTACGATTTTATTCCACTTTCGTTTTAGGGTCTGCGAAATGAGAATAACAATCTGTCGATGCAATTAGCAGGTAACATTGCAGCTATGTCTATAACCTCTGCAAGTTGTTTTACAGCACTTGCGATTCATTAGAGGTTAATTTTAAACAGATCGTACAGCAATTGGCATGTTTCGAACAGTGATTTAAAGATACGTCCGGATACGTACCTACGTACTTGAATATGAAATTTTAGTCTCACCCACTCGTCGTCTTCGACTTTTGAACTTCAGTACCTTTGCGTAGTTCAGAAATTAGGTAATATCCCAAAAATTGGTTCAACGCTAGTTGATGCTGTCCTTGTGTCCCTCGATTGGGAAACACCAGGCAATGCTGTTTTCATTATTATATGATTTACTATCTCATTGCAGATTGTAAGTTGGTTAATGCGCAATTAGAAACAGAGATTCACAGTTTCACAGAATTTCAAAGGTATGGTCACACATCACATGTATAACACGTGCCCGGTTGGACGAAAGCTCGATATCGTTTTGCATGCATTCATAATGACTTGTCATCTGTCTTGAGTATGTTCCAGAATTAAGTCATCGCATTTTGAGATTTGAGCATCGCCTGTACTTGCAAAGCGTTTTCTTTTGCTTGTTTCTCGCTGTATATCGAAGAGATGCTTTTTCCTTTCTATCTTAGAAAAAATGAGCGTAAGACTGTACTTCTTAAAGAACAATTTTCCCATCTTCATCAAAGGGAGGCTGCCGGGCAAAACACCCTAAGTGAAGTACTAAAAGTGGTAAGTGGAACTAATCCGTATTAGTGTCTATGAGATATAATGAACCAATTGAGGTTCAACTTTGTACAACCGTTCTCTGAACGTCTTCTTTGTGCGTGTGTAGGCTGAAAAGACAACTTTAGAAAGGGATGCTGCTAATGAAATGGTAAGAACTGTGAATTTCGTTATCTATATATGTCGCTAAATGTGTTTTCAATGTGGAATTTTGAACGCGCGTGTGGGTATAACGGCATTGCAAATCAGTTTTCTTTTGTTTAAGTTGTACGAAATTTCCGATTTGACGTCACGTGCGGTAACTTTAAAGGCTAATAGACCATTGCAGCAACAAAATATTTTGCGTATTTTTTTTAAAAATACCTTTTGATGTATTCAAAATGCGCAACCGTGTGATATTAACATGCACTTTAAAAATTTTACAAATGCGTGAATGAAAAATGATTTTATTTACTTATGTAGTTTTTGATTTTAAAAGAAATAATAAAATTGTTTAAAATTTTCTGTACGCATAAAAGAGAACTGTAGAACAGTTTTTAGATCCCCCCAAAAATGGAGAAACAATTGCAACCTGCAGTTTTATTGTCTTCCTAATGAGAGATCAAAATAACCAGCATATTTAGTACAAACTATGTCTTTAATGCTTTCTTGACTTTATATTGTGTAAGGTTGAGAAGCTTTCATTTGTCCCGGCTATGACGGAGAATGAATTGCACAAAACTGCAAAATTACGGGCTGTTTACATTCAACGAAGCGTGAGATGAATTTAAGGTATTGAAATGAGCAGATAACATGATCCTGGCAGTCGTATAATCACCACAACAATAGCATGTGCTTGTTTGGTGTCATAAACACTTATTTCAATACCTCGAAGTCCTCTCACGCTTCGTTGAATTTCGGGTAACCGGCCTCATGTAAACAGCCCCTTAGTTCATTGGTGCCTGTATAAAAAATCTTTCTGCATATGGTTTTAAAAAGTCGTGCAGGGGCCGGTTGTTCAAAAGGCGTTTAGCTTAAACGGTGGATAAGTCTAGAATAGAAAACAAAATGATCTATTTATTGAACAACTGAGCTGTAATATTTCGATGCAAATATAGTTTAATTCTCAATGGAAGTACACATTGAATGCATAAATTGCAGGTTCAGTCATTCACGAGATGTATGAGAGTATTTTTAAACTTTGGCTTATCCACCGTTTAAGCTAAACGCCTTTCGAGCAACTTGCCCCAGGTGTTCTTTACCAAAGAGCTACTTTCCAATTGGGAAATACTTTTGAAAAAATCACTATAAAATTTATAATTTATTCAGACATTGGACATTTCGTGTTTTTAATAACGAACGAGAAAATCTGGAGTTCTTATAATCTAAATTGGGAAAAGGAGGGAAAGTTTCATCAAAACCGAGGTTATTTGTGAAACAATTTTGGCCTGTTTGTCTATATAAGATAAGGCTGACCGTTTTAATAAAGTAAAGATTAAGTACATGTGTAACGGGAGCAAAACAAATTTTCTTGTTTCCTTTAAAAATTTGAGAATACGCAATTTCTTTCCGAAGAAAATCTGCATGATTAGCCGCGTTTGACTACTTACTCGCAACAAGCCACTTGCTTTTTTTTCGGAAGGGTTTTATTTTCTCACGAAATTTTCTAATCCAATAGGCAACAATTGGAGAAGCAATGCCAGTTTGTTTTCAGTGAAAATGAAGTCTTAATGAAACGTCAGGAGTTGCAAAATCAAAAGTTAGAAGAGCTCACAGCATTCTACTGTCAATGATAGCCGAAGGTGTGGAAATATTTTGTCGTTTTTTTTCTCACCTTTAGATTAATGTACTAGATATGTATTTCTTTGTTAATTAATTAGTCAACATATTTTGAATTTTCCAATACACCCACGTTAATTGTTTACTGCGACAATTTTACTATGATTTGCCAACATTTGGTTTACTGTTGAGTCATTCCATGGTTACGTATACACGCGGTAATTGCCCACTCGCGGTTCTAAATTATTTCAAACAAAAATTCCACCTTTCTCAGAATCGCGATGATTCTGAGAAAGGTGGAATGTGATGACGTGATGATGTGAATAGTCATGGGCGCGATGAGCTCCGTAATTTAGTCATTTTTTTGGTTAAATCCCAACGTTTCAGTACCAGATTGTCATCGGTGGCGTTGCCTAACGGGCTCGACGTTCCACATCTTGGTATCATTTGCAATTTGATTCGTGAATAATCTCATATTCTTGTAAATTTGTACAAAATTTCCATCTGGTTCACGTATTTGGATACCCCAGTTACAGTTGGTTGATCGCGAGCGCAAACAAGCGTGTGCGTGTTACGTGATGCGCGTGCTGACATCATCTCGTTCAAGAAGGAAAGATTCTTTGCGTTCGACGTGTTCCAAAATATGCAATCATTACGAATATTACAGGAAAAACGGTTATTCTTGGTTTCCACATGCTACAGGAACATTTTTACTGGTATCATTCATCTTATACAGTTGTATTAAGCCTGCGTATGTTATTCCTTGTGATAACTTAGTGAACATTAATTCATCGCTTTCTGACATACCACAGAAGAATTGTTGGATTTGGATTTCCACGCGTGACATTGTATTGCGCAAATTTAACCACACCAATGGATATCGTTACGGTTTGAACCTACATATAGCACGCAATACGCGTCATTTGTATTTATGCATTCTTCTTGCTGGAGATGTCGCAACCAACCCAGGACCCGATGTTTCATCTAATAGGGTCCACGTGGGAGGATTGAGCGTCATGTACTTCAATGCACGAAGTCTAAAAGCAATTGTACGTGATTCTGAACAAACAGGTGCTATATCAAAGGTATGCAAGATAACGCTACTGCAACAACTTGTTTACTCTGCGAGCTATGATGTTGTATGTATCTGCGAGACTTGGCTCAATGAAAGTGTGCTGGACAGTGAGCTACTACCCGGGTACTCCGTGTTTCGCCACGATCGAACTGAAAGAAATGGCGGTGGTGTACTGGTAGCGGTCAGAGAGAACATTCACGCAACACACAGAGAAGATTTAGAGCGTAACGACGTGGAGTGTGTTGTTGTTGAACTGAAAACAAAATACAACAAACCTACGCTCTTTTACACCCTGTACCGTCCTCCTAATAGCAGTCCTGATGTTTTCCACCAAATAAACCATTCGTTGCTATCAACTCCAGAATCCAGCTGTATTATTTTGATCGGTGATTTCAATCTTCCTGGAATAAATTGGTCTCTCGATCCACCAACAATCAACGGAGGGAGACTGGAAGAATCGTTCTGTGACTTGGTTGATGATAATTTCCTACAACAGCTTATCAAAGGTCCTACCCATATTGGAGGAAACACTCTTGATTTAGTCTTGTGTAACGCCGCAGAAAACATCACAAATGTTCGAACATCAGAACCTTCAGAATTCAACTTCCCAACGGACCATTATTGGTAGAGTTTCAACTTCAACAATCTTTCCGACGCACCAGAACTGTTCCACGCACCATCTTTGATTACAATCACGGTAACTTTGAAGGACTTCGACTGCATTTGCTAGAAAACCCGCTCGAAACGTTTACTTCAGAAGATATCAACGATTGCTGGGTAGAATGGCGGGGATGGTTTCTGGATGCCGTGCATCAGTTTGTTCCAACAAAAACAATCAAAGATGTGAACTCACCACCTTGGATTGATGGCGAAGTGCGGCATGCTATCCGTAAAAAGTACACGGCTCTGAGAAAATTTCGTCGAAAGAGAAATGAACAACGGAAACATAAGCTTAAAGTTAGGACTCAGGAAGTAAAACTTCTCATCAAAAGAAAACACCGCCAATACCTTGACACAATCAAACACTCATTCACTCAAAATCCGAAATTGTTCTGGAGTTATCATAAAGCGATATTCCATCATCGATCAGCCCAGAATCCAATTATTTCTCACAACGATTCTTTGGCAAAAACACCATCAGAGAAAGCCGAATTATTTAACCGATTCTTTGCATCCGTTTTCCAAAAATCTCAACCACGTGACGAAGAAGTTTTGATATCGTCGAGAACTGTAGCCGAACTGTCAGTAATGAAAATTAGTGATGAAACCGTTCTCGACTATCTGTCACATCTAGACGTGTCAAAATCGAGCGGTCCCGATGGTATTACAGCACGCCTCTTGAAAGAATGCCGAGAACAAATTGCATCAAGTCTTAGCGCACTCTTCAATCTCTCGTTAAGTACCGGGTGTGTTCCAATAGAGTGGAAGTCGGCGCACGTTACTCCTATTCATAAAAAAGAATCCAAAGAACCAGCTAGTAACTATAGACCAATCTCGCTGCTTCCTATCGTCAGTAAAGTCCTAGAACGTTGTGTTTTCTCAAAACTCTATGACCACGTAGCTCACTTAATCAACCCAGCACAACATGGTTTTCTTCGCAATCGTTCTGTGTGTCTCTCAACTCCTCTCCGTTCTCCACGATATTGGTCACAATCTGGATAATAACATCCAAACAGATATTGTTTACTTGGACTTCTCTAAAGCCTTCGACTCGGTAGATCATAACATTCTACTACAAAAATTACACGGTTACGGTCTGCGCGGAGCTGTATTCCGCTGGTTTACCGACTATTTGAACTGTAGAACCCAGAGAGTTGTTGTAGACGGTGCGACATCCAGCTGTCTCCGGTCACCTCCGGCGTGCCTCAGGGAAGCATCCTTGGACCTTTACTTTTTGTCATCTTTATCAATGATCTGCCAGACTTTGTAGAACCTAACACTGAACCTTCACTGTATGCTGACGACACCAAACTTCATCAAACTATAACTTCTACCAATAACTGCATATCTCTACAACAATCCTAACAAATTTAGACGACTGGAGTAAAGTGAACCATCTTTCTTTCAACGCATCCAAGTGCAAGTAATGACTGTCACCCGGAAAAAAGCACCTATTATCCACGACTACACACTGGAGATCGGGAAGTTGACAAGAGTTCTCAGCGAAAAAGATCTCGGTGTCGTTATGTCCACCACACTCTCTTGGGACCTACAGATCACGTCCATAATCGCTAAGGCGAACAGAATGCTTGGCGTGCTAAGGAGAACATGCACTGGCTTACGCGATGTAAAGATCCGCAGAACCCTCTACCTCTCTCTGGTAAAATCCCAGCTCTCGTATGCCACAGAGGTGTGGTCTCCAACGAACAACATCATGCTGTCGAGACTTTGGAGAGAGTGCAGAGACGGGCGACCAAGTGGATTCTTAGCAGCGGAGAATTGGACTATAAAGAGCGTTTGGTCGCTCTGCATCTGCTGCCACTATCCTACGACCGTGAGATTAAGGACTTGGTTCACCTGTATAAGTCCTTGTTTGGTTTTCTAAACGTAGATACTGAAAACTACGTTACGTTTGTCAACCATGGTCGCACCCGGTTAAGCCGTAAATCCCCATACATACTCCAATCTCAATCGTGCAAAACCAGTACTTTTCAATCATCCTTTTATAACCGTATTATCAAAACCTGGAACTGCCTTTGTAAGGACATTAACTTTGATCTCATCACAGATCCTAACTCTTTTAAAACTTTTCTGAAAAGAAAGTACTCTTTATTAATGGACACATATGATGTCGATAGTCCCTGTTCGTGGTCTCTTGTTCGTAGTTGCTCGTGTCATAAATCCTAAATAGTGACTTACTGTATCATTTCTATTATGTTTGTGATATTGTTTTTAATGTTTAATTCTTGGCGGGTATCTTGCATGGTTCTTGCACTAGTTCCGTTTATACTTTGCCATTTAGGATCATTATCTGTTTAGTATTAATTTTGTATTCTACCGTATGTATTAATGAGTGATCCTAATAAAGTCGACAATAATAATATAAATAATAATAATAATAATAATAATTCTCTTTGGTTCTCCACTCTCACGTGGTGTTTCTGTTCTTAGAAAGTTGAGTGAATTACGGGAAAAGACGCAAGAAGAAATCAACTCCCTCGCTTCTCAGCTGCAGGTTCGTTTTTAAATACCATCAATTATTTCTTGCTTTCGTAGTTACGATTTAATTCCACTTTCGTTTTAGGGTGTGCGAAATGAAAATAACAATCTGTCGATGCAATTAGCAGGTAACATTGCAGCTATGTCTATAACCTCTGCAAGTTGTTTTACAGCACTTGCGATTCATTAGAGGTTAATTTTAAACAGATCGTACAGCAATTGGCATGTTTCGAACAGTGATTTAAAGATACGTCCGGATACGTACCTACGTACTTGAATATGAAATTTTAGTCTTACCCACTCGTCGTCTTCGACTTTTGAACTTCAGTACCTTTGCGTAGTTCAGAAATTAGGTAATATCACAAAAATTGGTTCAACGCTAGTTGATGCTGTCCTTGTGTCCCTCAATTGGGAAACACCAGGCAATGCTGTTTTCATTATCATATGATTTACTATCTCATTGCAGATTGTAAGTTGGTTAATGCGCAATTAGAAACAGAGATTCACAGTTTCACAGAATTTCAAAGGTATGGTCACACATCACATGTAACACGTGCCCGGTTGGACGAAAGCTCGATATCGTTTTGCATGCATTCATAATGACTTGTCATCTGTCTTGAGTATGTTCCAGAATTAAGTCATCGCATTTTGAGATTTGAGCATCGCCTGTACTTGCAAAGCGTTTTCTTTTGCTTGTTTCTCGCTGTATATCGAAGAGATGCTTTTTCCTTTCTATCTTAGAAAAAATGAGCGTAAGACTGTACTTCTTAAAGAACAATTTTCCCATCTTCATCAAAGGGAGGCTGCCGACCAAAACACCCTAAGTGAAGTACTAAAAGTGGTAAGTGGAACTAATCCGTATTAGTGTCTATGAGATATAATGAACCAATTGAGGTTCAACTTTGTACAACCGTTCTCTGAACGTCTTCTTTGTGCGTGTGTAGGCTGAAAAAGACAACTTTAGAAAGGGATGCTGCTAATGAAATGGTAAGAAAACTGTGAATTTCGTTATCTATATATGTCGCTAAATGTGTTTTCAATGTGGAATTTTGAACGCGCGTGTGGGTATAACGGCATTGCAAATCAGTTTTCTTTTGTTTAAGTTGTACGAAATTCCCGATTTGACGTCACGTTCGGTAACTTTAAAGGCTAATAGACCATTGCAGCAACAAAATATTTTGCGTATTTTTTTTAAAAATACCTTTTGATGTATTCAAAATGCGCAACCGTGTGATATTAACATGCACTTTAAAAATTTTACAAATGCGTGAATGAAAAATGATTTTATTTACTTATGTAGTTTTTGATTTTAAAAGAAATAATAAAATTGTTTAAAATTTTCTGTACGCATAAAGGAGAACTGTAGAACAGTTTTAGATCCCCCCAAAAAATGGAGAAACAATTGCAACCTGCAGTTTTATTGTCTTCCTAATGAGAGATCAAAATAACCAGCATATTTAGTACGAACTATGTCTTTAATGCTTTCTTGACTTATATTGTGTAAGGTGAGAAGCTTTCATTTTTCCCGGCTATGACGGAGAGAATGAATTGCACAAAACTGCAAAATTACGGGCTGTTTACATTCAACGAAGCGTGAGATGAATTTAAGGTATTGAAATGAGCAGATAACATGATCCTGGCAGTCGTATAATCACCACAACAATAGCATGTGCTTGTTGGTGTCATAAACAACTTATTTCAATACCTCGAAGTCCTCTCACGCTTCGTTGAATTTCGGGTAACCGGGCTCATGTAAACAGCCCCTTAGTTCATTGGTGCCTGTATAAAAAATCTTTCTGCATATGGTTTTAAAAAGTCGTGCAGGGGCCGGTTGTTCAAAAGGCGTTTAGCTTAAACGGTGGATAAGTCTCTAAATAGAAAACAAAATGATCTATTTTATTGAACAACTGAGCTGTAATATTCGATGCAAATATAGTTTAATTCTCAATGGAAGTACACATTGAATGCATAAGATGCAGGTTCAGTCATTCACAGATGTATGAGAGTATTTTTAAACTTTGGCTTATCCACCGTTTAAGCTAAACGCCTTTCGAGCAACTTGCCCCAGGTGTTCTTACCAAAGAGCTACTTCCAATTTGGGAAATACTTTTGAAAAAATCACTATAAAATTTATAATTTATTCAGACAGTGGACATTTCGTGTTTTTAATAACGACGAGAAAATCTGGAGTTCTTATAATCTAAATTGGGAAAAGGAGGGAATGTTTCATCAAACCGAGGTTATTTGTGAAACAATTTTGGCCTTTTTGTCTATATAAGATAAGGCTTACCGTTTTAATAAAGTAAAGATTAAGTACATGTGTAACGGGAGCAAAACAAATTTTCTTGTTTCCTTTAAAAATTTGAGAATACGCAATTTCTTTCCGAAGAAAATCTGCATGATTAGCCGCGTTTGACTACTTACTCGCAACAAGCCACTTGCTTTTTTTCGGAAGGGTTTTATTTTCTCACGAAATTTTCTAATCCACTAGGCAACAATTGGAGAAGCAATGCCAGTTGGTTTTCAGTGTAAATGAAGTCTTAATGAAACGTCAGGAGTTGCAAAATCAAAAGTTAGAAGAGCTCACAGCATTCTACTGTCAATGATAGCCGAAGGTGTGGAAATATTTTGTCTTTTTTTTCTCACCTTTAGATTAATGTACTAGATATGTATTTCTTTGTTAATTAATTAGTCAACATATTTTGAATTTTCCAATACACCCACGTTAATTGTTTACTGCGACAATTTTACTATGATTTGCCAACATTTGGTTTACTGTTGAGTCATTCCATGGTTACGTATACACGCGGTAATTGCCCACTCGCGGTTCTAAATTATTTCAAACAAAAATTCCACCTTTCTCAGAATCGCGATGATTCTCTTTGGTTCTCCACTCTCACTGTGTTTCTGTTCTTAGAAAGTTGAGTGAATTACGGGAAAAGACGCAAGAAGAAATCAACTCCCTCGCTTCTCAGCTGCAGGTTCGTTTTTAAATACCATCAATTATTTCTTGCTTTCGTAGTTACGATTTAATTCCACTTTCGTTTTAGGGTGTGCGAAATGAAAATAACAATCTGTCGATGCAATTAGCAGGTAACATTGCAGCTATGTCTATAACCTCTGCAAGTTGTTTTACAGCACTTGCGATTCATTAGAGGTTAATTTTAAACAGATCGTACAGCAATTGGCATGTTTCGAACAGTGATTTAAAGATACGTCCGGATACGTACCTACGTAC